AACAATAACAGGCACACGGTCTGATTCACGGTAACCTGTACTCTGGAACTGTTTATTTAGCTCACTCTTAGTATTCTAGTGTTTATATTTTATGTGTAAAAATGTCGTACAAATAGGTCACAAAAATTACTAGCACATTGGTTATAGAGTCGGATTCTCTTGCTTCTGTCAGAGATGTGTATGAGTGACGATTTTGGGCCTAAGCTAGGTCTAAAATCTAGACATTTCGAGTATAAAAGTCACAGACCAAAGCTGTGACAAAAAACCATAATGTATCTATAAAATAATGTTTCCGTGGGCAGATAATTATAATAAAATCAATATCAGATTCCTGACCATTTTTTTAAACAAGCCCGCCTCAATCTCCCAAATTCACTGCAACTCCTGTAAGCCAGGATTTACAATAGATACAACCAAGAATATACCGGAACACTGAATTGCGGTGCTTCTCAAGGACGCGAATAAATCAGAATTTAATAAGTGATCAAAACATCAGACCAAAGAAAATCCGTTCTTACTTACCTCTTTAAAATTAAGCGTGGTCATGTACCCTTATCGCGATAGACAAATAACAAGCAATGAGCGTCCGTAGACGTTTGGCCAACACTGTCTACTCACTAATTATAATTGTAAGTTAACATGTTATTAAAATTCTTGCGCCCCATACGTCATTCTCTTTAGGGGTCAGTGGACACAGAGAGTGTGGGAGAGTGTCTGTCTAAGTGTGGGAGAGCCATGCTTCGGCACGAATGGGCCGGCTCGACCGGAGTGATACCACGGCCAGCGGCCTTACAGAAAACCGACGTGAAGCGACGCTTGCGTTGTGTTTCGTCGTGTGAGTGAGGTTACCGGAGGCCCAATTACCCTCCACTTCCCCAATCTCCCCCATTCCTGAATCCCCAACCATCCTCAAACTCCTACTCCTAATCTCCAAAAGGCCGGTAACGCACTTGTAACGACTCTGGTGTTCCAGGTGTCCATGAGCGACCCCGATTCTTTACCATCAGGTGATCCGTCTGCTTGTTTACCGGCTTATGCCATAAAAAAAAACACAGAGAACAAAACAGAGAAAACATTCGTTAAAAACTGAAACAATATTTTGTAGACTCGCGCATGGTTAGTGGTTTTTTCCTCCTTGGCAACCGAAGGGTTTATAGTTAACTTAATCCTCTAGTATTGCGCCCGTCCATTAGCGGCGCCGATTGCTTACCATCAGGTTATCAACCTGAGTGCTATTATCATAGTATAAAGAACATTTATACTGTGCTATTATCGAGGATCCTGATGAGTGAACCGATTTATTCTATAAAACAAACATGAAGAACAAACACAAACTTCAAAAAATAATTAGGTGTTCATTATTAAAAACTCAGGTCTGGAGTTCATTCCTTATCATTTTTGTTTATACATACATACACCGAGGTATACTAATAGGTAGGAGTTTCTATGAGTTATAGGTCTCACAATTCCCATACAAACTACTGTTAAAACTGAATGGAATTTATGGTTTTTGTACACCGTTATTTTCCGTCTGGTCTCTTTTCCACACAACTTAATTATAACTTTAATGTACTACTAACCTAAGAGACGAGTACCTACCTACTATCTTCTTTTTATTGTTTGTTCTACATTTTTAACCGACTTGAAAAAATATGTATGTTTATGCGCGATTAAGTATCTCGCGATTAGCTGAACCGATTTTGATGCAGTTTTCAGAAAAGTGTTTATTACACTTGAGAAAGTTTAAGTATATTAGGTAACCAACCGACTTCAAAAACAGTGGGGGTTGAAGTCGGTATTATTATACGTAGTTTATAACACAATTATTGTTTACAGTAATTATTTATTTAACTCGTCGAGTACCGGTTTTATAGACACAATTAAAGAACAATAGGTCGCGGTCACCGGTGACCGCTTGGTGTTTGACAGTTTAATTAACTTCAGTACATAGAACATCGCGATTTATTATCTGGACGGACCTCTGACTGGTTTATTAAAATATCTAGAAGTCAGATTTACTTCACTGCATTTTGTTTAATTTGTATAACACCGATATACAAATTATTTTTTATTTTAAATAAATCTTTTACTATCAGGCAACTATAACCCATTCCTTATAGACGAGCATAAATTTATAATATACAGTTTATAGGAAGAAAGTGCTCTACTAATAAGTATAGTTCTTTTAAAACGACGTTTAAAAACACCGACTTCAACCCCCTCTTTTTTTGAGGTCGATTTATAAATACACTAAAACCTTCTCTTAAATGTAACAAACGCTTTTCTGAAAACCACGATTCAGCCAATCGCGAGTAAACATACCTATAGGTCAAAAGGAGAACCTACTTAGTTCTTTTTTTGAAATCGGTTAAAAAAAGTTTTAGTAAGTTATTACTTCTAGTTTTTCTGTTACACCGGGTAAATGCTTAGTCAGTGTGTAATTATTGCTTTACTAATTAAAACATAAACATCTAGTTTTGAGCGGGCCCATGTGGCCGCGGCCCGCACGCGATTGTAAATTAATTATCATACCTACATACATACTACTTATTTTTCACATAACTATTATTAGTAGATTAGTATGAATGCAATGTTTTTGTTATTTGTTTCGTTACTTGTGTAAGGAGTAAAGCCATTGAATTATCCTTTTTAACTGAGTCTAAAGAAGTTGAGGTTATTATTTTTTATTCTTTAAGTCAAGTTCTAAATAAAAACATAAATATCCCTTTGTCTGTTGACCCCGCTCCAAGAGCGCGACGTTAATATGAGAGACCAATGTCAAACAAACCGATTCATGTAAAACGAATTAAATAAAAGGTAGGCAAGTTATTATAACATTTGTATTATAAATTGCGTGAGACATACTAAATAATTGTGTACTAAATAAAGTGAAGGAAAACATCGTGAGGAAACCTGAGCTTATAATTTCTAATTATAAGGTTGAAATCGACAACCCCCATTAAGCAAGAGTGGTGCTAAATGCTCAAACCATCTCCGTGTGAGAAGAGGCTTTGCTCAGCAGTGGGCACTTATAGGCTGCTGATGATGATGATATTATGTTAAAGTTAAAAAAAAAACATATTAATAACAAGTACCTGGTATTGTTAATATTTAAATAACAATTATGTATGCATACTACAACAAACACTATTTGTTTGTAAGTATATTATCTACGGTTGAAAGTGTATTGTCGGCTTACATTAAACATGTGTAAATATATTAAAATTGTGTATTAAAAATCACCTTGAAAACTGATAACACACAATATACACCTACTTAAACAAATAATCAGTTTTTTATAGTTATCTACACAAATAGTGAATGTTTAAAATCAGTTGCAATCTCCCATAATGCAGAGATTGTTTTTTGAATGAAATAAATAATTGCAAATCCATATTTTCTTTTTTAATTTGAATGACCTAAAAAAACTGATCTTAAGACATAATCTTTTGGTTTAGGTAGCGGAATGCTGCTCATGAATGTGAGCCTCTAGCATGGCTTGAAACTAGTTGAGTTCCTCGTCAAATAATTATGTGAGTAACCCGAAAACATAATAAATAACATAATCTACGGATTGGAATTGATTTGATAGCTCTGTATGAAGTTTGAGTCAAAAATGTCCCAAAGATTTTGGATTTCGACTATTTAACTTGTTCAAGCTTTAATGGATTTACTAAATGGTACATTCCAATTAGTCAAATACATTCACACATACATACATAACCTCATGCTCTGTCTTCCATGTGGGGTAGGCAGAGAATATGGTATGCCAATAGCTACGATTCTTAAATTCCTCTTTCACTTCCTCAACAGTCATCAGTCTTTTAATGCATGCTTGTCAAATACAATCCTTTTCAGAAATGTAACAATGTAATATAGTTCTCTATTCAATTGGTTAGAGAGAAAAATACTAAGAATATACTTAAAATTAAATCTGTTAAAGACCTAAGAGATATAAGTCTTCTTATCTAAGTATGTGAATTTGTTTGTCATTGAGGAAATAATCTTTTTATGTATACATTAACTGCCGAGTCCCTAAGTGGTCACCGGTCCGCTCTCCACTTTTTCCATTATTGACCTTATTTCTGATGTTTAGAGACTATTTTTGTTATTAACAAATGTTGTGGATTTTTCTTTTCATAATCGTGGAGTAGTTAATGTAATAAGGAAACTAGAGAAAAAAGGAACATAAAGTACATGTTTTACCTATTCTTACAGTTTACTTCAAATATGTAATTATGTATTCAGTTTCATACATTAACTCGTCGAGTACCGGTTTTATAGACACAATTAAAGAACAATAGGTCGCGGTCACCGGTGACCGCTTGGTGTTTGACGGATTAATATGTAAAACTTGCATGACTGAACAGTTTAATCAATAATAGTGTAGATAAAGTGATAATAATCTATATGATTACAGTATGTGCAATCATGCACAATATATTGCACTTAATATTGACTCAGATATTGCAAAAATATTTGCAAAATGTATTTAATACCACAATAAAACAGTATTGCAAAAATTATGACTAAATTCAATACCTACCTAGCAAGTATTAAATAAATGGAAACTGTTGTTGAAATTTGAAATACCAAAATAAATAGTTTTTTTTTTCTTACAAGCCATAGATAATAATGTTTTGTGTTTTTTTTTTTGTTATTGTAAAAGTATTGAATGAAAGTCTTACTTGGGCATTGATAATTCTAATACAGGCAAATAGGTGTAATGATTGATAACAGTGGAATTATCATGTAGGTCACTATAATGCAATTATAAGTTTCATGGTTTCGCAATCATAACACGATCGTAAGGTAGAAGATAACGAATAATGATACAAGCCGTCTTATAGTTTGGCGCACAAACATGATCCACCAATAAGGAGCAGCCGTTCATTCACGCCCTCGCAATTAAACTGACAGCAGATAAACCTTGAAAACACTACGAAACCGCGCTCCAATCTACCCATTTCACACATTCGCAAACCATAATATTATTAATTTCACCGACCTTCAGCGCTCTGGTTCAGCGACAATGGTGCTCCAGTGGATGACAAATCCTTCTTCTGTCCGAGTTTAGGCGGATCAGAGTCTGAATCGTCGAACACAAGTGTCCGGACAGACTGGGAACATCGGCGATCCATCGTAACTATCACAGCACAACACACAAATGCACTAAAATTTCCCCCATCTATCACCCCCTAAACAATTCAACGAATTCACGGTCTATTTACATGACACAGTTAAGATAAAATGTGCGTATCCATCGACGTAAGATCAAGGTATTCATAAACGATTGTGAATGCAAATATTTTCTATGTCATGATAAATAACGCGATACACGACTTCGCACAAATCGAAAAATGACACTTTTGAAGGGCTTACCGCGTATTGCCATAAACCGAGAGATAGTCCCCGATATTGCCAGTAGTTAAATAAAAATCCAAATTCTTGGAAAGACCACATTTAAGTTATAACTCGCAGGTTCTTTTTAATAATATTTTTCGTACTGGAAATAGTTAAATAGTAAAATGAAACAAAATCCATTAAGTAGTATAACTTTAATTTTATATTATATTATGTACAAATGACACTTTTGTAAATTATTATCTCTTTTGATGGATCGACGAAAATAGTAAAGATTTAAAACGAATTACCAATTTTATTGGGTGGTTTGAAAAAATACTTCAAACTCATTCAAACGTATATTTTGGAAACTATAAACTTTATAAATTTATAAAATGGCAACACTGCCTGCGTTCCAGTTTAAACTGTAGTTCTACATAATTTTTTTAGGCATAAAGTCTATGCTAATATAATTCATAATATATTACCTATCATTATAACTTGGTACAGGAAAAAGCCAAATAAAGAGGATAGTTAATATATTTATTTTATATGTGGAGGAAAATTGTTCTTGATTAACTTTTGTCATTTCACGACGTGGTCTACTATTGCATAAATAACAACAAAAGTATTTGAAAATTGTTTTCGAAAGTAATTCTTTCATAATAAAGTAAAAAATATATGCTAATTGCTATTTAATTCTGAAGCCGTAAAGATGATAGTCGACGTAAGTATTTCAGTATACATTTTAGTATATCAGTAAAATAAAAATAGTACGTATTTATGAAATACTATTAAAATGTATAATTTATATTAAGTATGTACATTGTGTAATAAAGAAATAATGACTTTGATGTCAAAATTTTCCTAAAAATATTGAAAGTTCTGAAGGAATTCAGTTTTACAGAAATAATGCTCAAAAACGTGAAAACGTAACATGTGATTCTATAGTGGTATAAAATGATTTTTGTTTCTGGCATTACCGCTAATAACAGGTGTAAAATCCTGTATCCTTTTTTTTTGGTTTTTCATTTCTGCGGCATCTAGTAGGAGTTACTGAAAACTACAGGAACATTTTTGTACCAGACTAAAAAAAAACTTTGACTACTGAAAAAATGTTGCCAAGTTATTGCCTAGTCACATGAGTATAATTAAATATTTACTCAATATTTTGAATTAAAAATGTGTAGATATGTGAATTATAAAAATAATCTTTCTAAATAACAACGAATATTACTACAAAACTGAGAAATAACAGAGAAAAATATTAACTTGGTGCGCCATCTAGCGAAACATTTTGCCAAAATAAACTTGTTCCGTCAAAAGAAACGGAAAAACACGAGTGTGCGTCGCCTCGGTAGATATCAGTTGAATTATTCGGCTAAAATGCCCTGGCACGGGCATACGTAGTCGTCGGTCCGCCATTACGACGCAGCCGAAGACACGTTCGTCGTATTTAGTTAAATATTTTCGTTTATAAATGAGTAATAACGCTCATGAACTAAGTAATCGACTACTGAATGCGTTGGATAACAATTACAATGTAAGTTTCAGAGTTTTGACGATCGTAAGTCTGATAAAACGAGTTGAGATACGAAACGGTCCACGAGCCCATGACACCCGATTCGATGTTGCGATTCGGACACTCGCGAGGTTGTCTCGGGAGTGCCTTGTGCTGTGCTATAATCACGAGATGTGTTGATAACCGTCCAAATAATAAATTGGAATATAGTGCGGATCGCGGAGCGGAAACGGACCGTGTGGATACGTGAGCGTGCGAGTTAGAGGGGCCACTGACGTCGCCAGCCCGCCGCCCCGTCCCTCCGTCCCTAGTGCCAAAAATTTTGCAATGTGAAAGTATGAAGAATTGTGCCACGCGCGACCTTTCCCGTTTATCTTCTTTGCTGGTGTGACTAAGCGAGTGGCTGCTGCAAATATGTATTATTTTGTACTGATTGACCTTACGTGAGTACGAACTTAGCTATAGATGGTGTGACGGCACCTGGCGCCCCGCGTGCCGTATGCTGCTCCTCATCACGCGCTTACCTTCTCTGTAGCCTATATTTGTTGTCCTGTTCATGTTTGCTGGTGTGCAATAAGCAGTTGGTCGTTATTTTAGTGATAATTTAGCACACTCGTGGTATATTTCTTGTCTCGGTCTGTTGCTAAGGCCTGCCTGGCTGCAGGTGTATTGGCTAATTCAAATAGCCAGTGTTGTTGTCGATTGTTTAAAACTTTATTTTTATCTTGTTTATCAGTGTGCTATGATTATTTTAATGTTGATTACTCATTATTTACGAATACTGTTTCTTTCCTTGTTTGTTCTTGGTTAAGGTTGGCAGGTGGTATGTTAGTATCACTCCTGGATTGTGATATTTTTAGGTTATATTTGACAGATCATTCCTCGATCAAGTTGTTTTTATCTATAAACCTAATCAGTGGTACTGTGGGTTGGAACTATTTCAAGTTTATGCAATGTGATGCAACAATGATTACTCTAACCTCCTAGTAAGGTTCTGTACAGGTTTATATACGTCTCGCTAACTCTTTTTGTATGCAGTATTCGGACGTCAAGCCTGAAACCAACTATTTCAGTCCACAACAGCTGACTATGTAGCAAGTACTTAAACTTGCAATAAACAACTTGAAACTATAAATAACTTTGCATTTTAGTAAACAGTTTTACATCTACATGAATATGACCACTTATCCTGTTGCCTTCAATTCAATTTATTTTATATCTTCCTCTATATTTTGAATTTACAATGAATTTCAAAGACACAATATAGTTGTCACTTGAAGTTGAAAAGTATTTAAACATCAGTAACTATACTTAACGGCTTAAATTAAAATTTAACCCATCATACTTTTTATACCCGAATAGAAAGGCAGTGTTGCACATTGCGCATATTGAAATGGACAAACATAATATGTGCACATAGCAAATTAATCTCACAGTTTTCAATATCTAGACTAGAACATCTATAGATTTGTCTGCACCAAGCTCCATCCTAAATTTCATATTGATTAAATAACAATCTCTATTAGTCGATATATTGTGCAGTTCCCTCATATCGAGCATGTTTCTTGCAGCGAGTTGACCCATTTTACAAACCAATGCTCATGAAACCGATAATCTAACCCATTAAAAATTTTTGAAAACCATAAAAGTAGTCTCTAAACATTGGAAATAAAGTCTATAATGTAGTTAGTGGAGAGTGGTTACCGGTGACCACTGGGGGATAATAATAATTATATTACTTAACCACTAGTAAATACCAAAAACCAAATTTAATAATATGTACAGTAGGACTAGTAGCAATATAACTGACATAAAACTAGTTAGCCATTCATTGGTCAAGTTATCGGAACTATAAATAAAAACTGCTATAGTATTATTTATATATTCCCACAGAACATTTCTTCAAAGTCATCAAAACACAACTTGCTGGGACTTGCATACATACTGATATATTATGTATCAAGTTTCTGAGAAATATGATCCACACAAAGTTAGCAAATCAGAGGTTGTACTTATAACTAAGTTTTTAACTAAGTATTAAATGAAACAAGTACACTTTGAGCTAAGTAAATGAAGTTGTTGTTCCTACAAAGTAAGTTAGTAATGTTATTTGTTTAGTTACTGATAAGTTACATTTAATATTTTTAATGACTTGATTCTTTCAGCTTAATTTTTCAAATCATGCTATAACTTAGTTCTACAAGTTAGTATGTATATGCAAACAAATATTTCATCATTTTTGTCATGTAATTATTATACTAAAGTATTACTGGGTATCTTAAACAATTCTTAGTTGTAGCGCGGAGACTGGAATTGTGCCTGGTATATGGCAATAGGCTCACCCCCTATTACATGGGACTCATAACATTAACAGTGAAAAGTGGGTGTTACATTGTCATTAAGAGCCGTAATGTGCACCCCTGCCTAACCCTTCGGGGATTAAAAGGCGTGATATTATGTTTTGTCATGTATTTTAATGTAAGTAAATATAAAATTGACCTATAAATCGAACAATTTAATATATTTATTGAAAATTTTTGAAACTGTAATACATTTGTAAAATTTTCACACATTTTGTAAGTTGTGACTGAAATAACAAGATATTTTCTGTTCACAAAAAAGTTATTTTTAACCATACTTTGCAATTCAAGTTTAATGTGTAATTTTAACCTTCAGAAACACTAGTTCACATCTCTGGTCGACAACCTTGTTGAATCATAATTATACAGTTGTTGATTGGTTAAAAAAATGATATAACTATTGTCATCATAATAATAAGACTGCATGGTTGGTATGGTGGCTGGGCAACTGGCTTTCGCGAAACACAGTGTGTTCCCTACCTGCAGAGAGCAACTTTTTGTTGTGATGCACAGATTGATGTTTCGGGTCTGGGTGTAATGTGTATGTGAACTTGTATGTTAACCTTCACACGTGTGATACAGGAGAAAATCCTAGAGAGGGATAACATTAAAAAAAATAGTATGTTCTAGAAAATATTTTTAATAAGCACTCCTGTTCCATATTATGATCTTATTCATACTTGAAATGGATACATAGTCTTTTATAGTTATTTGTAAATTTTAAATTACTATTGGGTAAGGAATTCTGTTGAATTAAAAGTCTGTTTTATAACTGAGGATCCAGAAAAGCCATCTTTACCAAAATTTTAATCTTTATACATTATATTCCAAGTCTTTTTGTCCAGTATGTCAAGTTACCTACCTATTTTGAAATAGATTACTTTTTACTTGCTTGTAAACCTATTGTTAAGTTTGTCTAGATATCATATGGGGGTTATTTCTACAAGAAAGTTCCCAAGTACTTAATTCTCAGAATTGTATTTTGCTTCATAGCCCAAATACTACTGAACATCATGCCTTTTATCCCCGAAAGGGTAGGCAGAGGTACATATTACGACACTAAACGCCACTGTGCAATGTAACACCCACTTTTCACTATTTATGTTACGAGTCACATGTGGGGGTGAGCCTATTGCCATATACCGGGCACAATTCCAGACTCTGTGCTACTGAGATTTTTTTTAAAACTCATTAATACTTTGCCTGACCTGGGAATCGTACCCAAGACCCCTTGCCCGGCAGTAGCGGCACTTGCGACCAACGAGGCAGTCAATACTACTGAACAGATTTTAAAAATTAAGATCCTAAAGTATTAATATGTAATGTAACTGTATTACATTTATTAAATACAGTATTCAGTACTTGCTAAGGTCAATGAACTCTTTATAATGAAATATTAACGACTTGTAAATAATTCACAATAGTTCTCATTTAAATCGTTTTCAAATGCAATTATTTAAAATAAAAATATATTTGAAATGATTTTTTTAGTAGTCAGCAGTTAGTATTTCTGATTTCATCTTCTTTTTTAATTTTTAAAACTTAATATGTTGTCATTGTCATGGTGTTTTTCTCTTTGGTCTTACTACTTATTGTTTTTAGTCTGTCGAACTTCTCATTACTATTGTAATATGACATGCAGGAGATACAGTTGTAGTGTGAGTTTGCTATAAATGGTTTATGAGTAAGAATATAATATTTTACTCAATAAAAACGTATTAATTATGAACAGGAAATACTGTGTCTAGGAATGTAGCACTAGCTTATATATTTCCTTTATTAGTTTATTTGTTGTTGGGTTACTTAAATCTGCTAAAAATATAATAAATCTTGAATATCCAAGTTCCTTTGATTCAGGCTGAAAATTAATAATTCAATTATTTTTAGTTTTTTCCCCAAAATATTACCTCTTAGCTTTTGTTTTAAATGTTGCCCCACACTAGTTCCCCACAAGAGAAAATTCTGTATCGTGGGTGCGTTTACAAACATACAATGTCACATGCACATGACACCTGAAACAACATTGGTGCTGCGGGAATCGAACCCGCTACACGCTGCGTGGCATCTAGTTGCCCAGCCATCGCGCTAACCGTGTCGGTGTCGAATCGAGTCGTGCAGCTTTCCATAGTATTATTAATTTATTTTCGTAAAAACTACCTATATGTAACTATTAGTAGGTACTTAGTTAATAATTAAAACTTGTCTAATAAGTAATCAGGAATTCAATGTGCTATGCTGCAGAATAATGCAATGATTGCACGGCTAGCGCGGTGACTAGACAACTGGCTGCCGCGCAACATGTCGCGGACTCAATCTCCGCACAGAACAACTCGTGTGATCCACAGATTGTTGTTCCGGGTGTAGGTTTCATGTGTATGTGAATTATATGTATGTAAACGCACCCACGACACATAAGAAAATCATAGTGTGGGCCAAGTTTTTTAAAAGGAAAAAAATTGAGAGTTAGGAGCTTACTCGTCATCACTTCATATTAACCATAAGTATCTTTTGCTGAACATAGGCTTCCCTCAATGAATTTTGTTAAATTCAAATTATAGGTACATTACCATTATTTACCATAGTATTTGGAGAAAGCTAGAATAAATAAATCTAGACAGAATTAACTGTTCCACTTTCCCTACATATTTTTATTTGCCTAACTTGTTTTTTTTTATTTAAAAATAATACAGTTCATTTAGTCTTGCTGATTAGGTTGGATATTGACTGCTAACATCCGATTGCTCAAACGCCACTGTATTTAAATATTGTGGTATCTCTGTCATTATACAAATAATTTGTAGTGACAGAACAAGCGGTCTTAACCCATCCCGGCTCCGGCTCGACGTGCAGGAGAAGGAACGGGGTGGTTTTTAGTCAGTAAGAGTCTGACACTCCCTTCCGCCTCACCCAGGCGGGAGCAGTCATTCGATGATTTTCCCCCCTTAAAAAAAAACCCATCCCCAAGCGGTCACCGGTGACCGCTCTCCACTAAGTACATTATAGACCTTATTTCCAATCTTTAGAGATTACTTTTGTATGAACAAACTTAGAGGATGAATTTCAAGGGGTTAAAATTGAGTGGTGTTTGGGTATTTGGTGATAAGCGTAGATTAATTAGAGAAATTAGAGTTTCTAATAAATTATGACGACCACCACGACTATCAAGTCGTGGTGGCCTGGAGGTTTTAAGATGTCCGC